TTTGACAGCCAACAAAATACTTCCTCCTGGACGATCTGACTTGTGAAAGTGACAGCAAGCATTCAGGAAAAAACTGGTAGAAAGACCTGTTTCAAGAAAGTCAAATTCAAATAACTGCATGTAGCTTAATAACTTCCTTTTTAGGCAATCTTTTGATTTCAGAAATGACTAACAATTTTACATGTCAAAATTGTCAATGAGATGGGCAAAATATGTCGATACTTCAGGCTTTACAAGCACTTTGGATTTTATAGTACTTTGAGAAGTACTGATGGCATTTAAGAAAATGAGTAACATGATTCAAATTTTAACATGCAAAGTAATGTAGAACAGAGAAAGAGTAGAGAAGTCAGTCAGGTCATTGCAGTTTGGAACCTAATCAGCAATGTATACACTAGAAGTCTAGTTAGTAGTAAGAGTAGATATTCTGGATCTATCAGAATATGTTCCTAGGTACACAAATACCCAATTTTATATGTCTCAAGTAAGGAAATCTGTAGGTTTAGTTTACAGAAAGCCTAGTCCTAGAACAGACTCAAAGATGTCATACAAGAAACTTACCCTTCCAAACCTAATCATACCCTCAACCTGAAACTTGTTAGATGATTGTAACTAGCAGTTTTTAAGAGGAACAAGAGTGGCTTCATGTGACATTTTTTGAGGCTAGCTCCTTTAGTTTCACTGACCCAGTTATTTAAATTTATTCTTTCCTTATGTAAGTATTTGTAAGGGAGTTCTTTGGGTTCCCAAGATTGGTTTAAGATTAAGCAGTGCCCACCCTGACTGAAAGCAGTGTCCCTGTTGGCTTCTCCTAAGGCATACTGCCTACATGAAAGATAGATGAATATCTGAGGTGGAGAAATGAGGATCTCTTAAGAGGAAAGAGGAATGGATGCAGAGTATACATATTGGATAGGTAAGAGATTACAGTTGTGTTTTGAATTTCAACAACTGGTTGAAAAGGTGAGCTGGGGTAGACAGGAGGGGAGATCCAGTTTGATAATCAAGACTTGTCTTTGTGACTTTTACTCCTGAGACAAAAGGCAATCATTATTAGCTGGATGAATTTAGAGTTTCAAGGAAACACTACAACTGAGAACAGAGATTTGAAATTATACATATTTTTTTTTCTTAAGCACCTGAGATTGGATATTACTAGAGAATGTATGGCTACGAAGAGTTAACTGAAGGCAGTCTTCATGCAAGCTAAGATTTAGAAGTGGAATACAATGCAAGGAATTAGGCTAGCTAGAAACTGAAGAGCTATGCACCAGTGTCAGGTGAGGGTGGACTAAGCATGGTGCAAATTTTCAGCTCTTTGCCAAAGGGGTGGGGTTTATTACATGTCTCAACTTGGAAACCGAAACAGAAAGAGTATGGATGTCTTAAAAATAGAGAGTAGAACAAAGAACTCCTGCTCATCTGGTTGAACCACTACTAAATATCCCCATGCTGCTGATCGCATGTATGGTGTATAACATGTGAACACTGTTATATATTACAGACTGTGATAGACAATTTGCTCCAGGAAAGTTAGAATGAACTTGTGACTTAGAAATTATGTAATCACTTAATCACAATCATCAAAAAAAAAAAAAAGAACTTCGGGGAAGGGAGGGAGGGAGGGGATGGTAGGGGGAAAACAATGGAGGGGCTAACAATGTTCAAGAGGAAGTGTACTCATTACCTCACTCATGTAACTGTAACCCTCTGTATAGTATCTTTACAATAAAAAATTAAAAAAACAAACAAACAAACAAACAAAAAGTTATGGTTCGGGGGCTGGGAAGATGGCTCAATGGTAGAGTGCATGCTTTGCATGCATGAGGCCCTGGGTTCAATTCCTCAGCACCACATAAGCAGAAAAAGCCAGAAGTGGTGCTATGGCTCAAGTGGTAGAGTACATGCCTTGAGCTGAAGAGCTGAGGGACAACGCCCAGACCTAGAGTTCAAGCCCAGGACTGGCAAAAAAAAAAAAGTTATGGTTCATTAAAGACCATTTAATGAGGATGAATACGGTTCAAAGAGGTTTTTTTTGTGTAATAAAAACCGAACAATGATAACTGTTGAAATTGTTTTAGAAGGGGAAGAATAGGTGAGAGTGATAGAAGGTGAGGTTCATCACAATACATTGCATACATTCTTGGAAATGTCACAATGAAATCCCCTTTAGACAACTAATATATGCTAATGTAAAAAAACAAAACGAACACCACAACATTGTGAATTGCTTTAACATTAAATCTTTAGAATAGCAGAAGGCTATATTTTCAAATAAAACTATGAACATTTTATTTTACTTAAAAAAAATCTCTAGGGCTGGGAAGGTGGCTCAGTGGTAGAGCGCTTGGCTTGCATGCCTGAGGCACTGGGTTCGATTCCTCAGCACCACCTAAAAAAAAAAAAAAAAAAGTAGAGAGTAGACCAGGACATAGTATAAAAAATATTAGTATATTATGAAATATTTCAAAAGGTAGTTGGTTGTGATAGTTCTCTACAATAAATATTTAGTGTTTTGAAATAAGATGAAGCATGTATGGCATCCCATGACAATTCTAAACCAAAACCTAATGAAAAATGCTGATCATTCTTACATCTACAACTTGATTTCAAATGGAATTGAATTACAGAAAATGACTGGGAGATTATAAAAAATTACAAGGGAAAAAAGGACTCGCCACTCAAAGAAACAACTATATCAATAAAAACTTCTACAATGGAGCAAATTGATAGCAACTTCATTTCTCCACATATCCACTCAACTAAAATTTAAAGAGTACTTATATCAGAGACTGTATCAGATGCTATTGAAAGAAGAACTCAAGTTTGTAGAATAGTCCCTTATCCCTGAGGAGTTCTTTTCCATTTCCTAGCTGAGTGATTATGGGCAAATTACTCAGCCTTTTGGTGCTTCAATTTCTTTGTGAAATGCAGATGACAACTTATCTCAGGGTTGCTGCAAAGATTAGGGCATAAAATAGCTTATACCAACATTTGATACACAGTAAGCACCACAAAAGCACTAGTTATTAATAAGAGGTAAAGAAATTTCCATAGAAGCAGTAACATAGTTAAGAAAAACCAAAACCAAAACCAACTACTGATTGGTCTCTACTATATTGGTCATCATGTTATTTAGCATTTAGTTTAATCCTGCAGGTATTCTACTTTACAGAACAGGAAAACTATTACAAGGATGTTTTGAAGCTTAAAAATAACACAAAGTTAGTAAGTGCCTGATTATGAATCAAATGTTGATCAAAAACCAGAATTCATTACTTCCCAATATTTTCAGTAACAATCCAGAATTCTGGATTCTAGATCTATCTACTGCCCGCTAACTAGGAAATCTGGGTCCCTGGGATCATTGTGTCCTAACTTATTTGGCAACTTTTCTACCTGATAAAATAGCTTTCTAGAAAGAAAAATTTACCGTTATCATAAAAGTGATATACAGAGGGGTTACAGGTAAAAATAGCTCCTTTTGTCTGCTTACTAGGATCAATGTGAAAACCCAAAGTTAAAGAAAAAAAATAAAATGTAAATTCCATCATTTTTTTCAGGTGCCTAACTTGTTTCACTTCTCTCCTACTTCTAATTTGGTTCCTTGCCATGATATCAAATACTAATTTTTATTCAAATACTAATTTCCAAGTAGCTAATCCCTAACAAAGAAAACCACCAAAACTTAATTCTGATATGTAACGAAGGATAAGCCCACTTTGGTAAGTACAAGTAATTACTTGAGCCTCTGCCCAATTCCTGTTTAAAACTGTACCTCATGAATTTAAACATGAAGTAATACAATTATTGTGGGTACTGACCTGGTATTGTCAGGGTGGCCATGATTATGAGGTCTAATAGTGATGCTGGAACCACTAACCAGAATCTTGAAAAAATACTTCGTTGTGTTTATAAAAATACTGCTTATATGTATAAGGTTTCTCTACTTTCCAAAGTTGTTCTGTTTTCCTTATTCCATCTGATCACCTAGTAGCTCAGGCAGGGCAAAGATTGTAGCTCTAACCAAGGGAAAAACATACTAATGTTCAAAATAATTATGACACATGATTTACATTTGAGATGACTAACTCCTAGTATGGTGCCTATTTATTGCACTGTTAAATAATTTTGTACTTTAAATTATTTAACAATACTGTTATTTTGAAAATATTCTCTCAAAAAAAGAATCCTTTACAGAGTAGCAAATTAAATGCCCCACTCATAAGAGCTGATGTAGCAACAGTAATCACCATGGAGAAACTTTTTGTATTAATCTGTAGTACCTGAGAATATCACATATTGATATTTTATGCCTAATTACCTAATTTGAACAGAATATGCTATTTTCAGGACTGTGATCTACATCCAATGGACTTTTACACATAACATTCATCAACAGCATTAGTGGCTCAGGAACTACCTAAATCACAGCAATTTAAAATGATTAGTATTTTAAAAACATAGGTTTTGAAGGGTCACCTTATAAATGTCAGCAAATGTTGCCTAAACTATCAAAATACAGATGACATTAAAATTTAATGTAATGTAAAAGCAGTACCCCATAAAATGGGACCAACATTTAATTGATGTTGCTTAAGAATTTTAGCTACAAGGCAGAGTGCCAGTGGCTCATGCCTGTAATCCTAGCTATTGAGGAGGCTGAGATCTGATGACTGTGGTTCAAAGCCAGTTCAGGCATCTGTGAGACTCTTATCTCCAATAAACCACCAGAAACCCAGAAGTGGTATTGTGGCTCAAGTGGTAGAGTGCTAGCCTTGAGCTGAAGCATGCAGGGCCAGTGCTCAAGCCCAGAGTTCAAGCCCCACAACTGACAAAAAAAGAAAAAAAAAAGAATTTTAGCTATAGATGACTTAACCTGAGCCCTCGTTAAAATTAAAAAAGAAAGTTTCATAAGGTGGAATTTTATTGTCATATTGTAAGTTCATCAAAAACATGAAAATAAAATTAACAAAGAGTCAAAAGATTAAAGCATCTAACCAAAGCAAGATTACATCGAAATGTTTATTTTTTGTTACAAAAACAAATCCAAACAGATAATGAAATATGCATATTTTTAGAAATATCCCATCCTGGTTTGTTCTAGAATTTAGTGTGCAGTTAAAAGTTTACTTCAATATTTCTCCTAGATGCTATGAAGTCTCCATCTTATAACCATGTTTCTCTAGTTCAGCTCTGCAATAAAACACAAAGAACAACATCACTAAGCATTCTTTATAATAACTCAAAGAAACAGATGGTTTAAAAAATAGTTATAAGTATTAATACAACAAATATTAAATAAATAAGTTGAGCCTGGGCACCGCCTTGAACTCTTGTCCAAATAGGTTTATTTTAGTTCCTAAACAGAGATTTATGTAAGGAAGGTAAATACATATTAATAAGGCACTAATACAATTTTCCTTTCCTTTTAGTTGGCTGGGAAGGTGGCTCAGTGCCTTGCATGCATGAGGCCCTAGGTTCGATTCCTCAGTACCACATAAGCAGAAAAAAAAAAAAAAGCCAGAAATGGCGCTGTGGTTCAAGTGGTAGAATGCTAGCCTTGAGCTGAAGAGCTGAGGGACAGCGCCAAGGCCCAGAGTTCAGGCCCCACGACTGGACCAAAAAAAAAATTGCTTTATGGAAGAAATGTGAGAGACTACAAATGTACTGTTTCTAATAAATCTTTACACATAAATCATTGTTTTTGCTTTGGTGGTGGTAGGAATTAAACTCAGGGCTTCACACATGCTAACTAGGTATTGTATCACTGAGCCACATTCTTTTGACTACACATGAATACCAAATCTTTACAGATTTTACAACAATCACAGTTACTATTTACAGAAAGAACAGATTGTATAATGATATTTATTTTCTAACCAAGAAAAAGCATTAACAAATGTAAAGATGTGTAAGTTTTCTGTATATCCTATATGCTGTTAAACTAAATATAATAAATGTCAAAAAATATTAAAACTGCCTAATTTTAAATGTGGATTAAATCTGAGGTTTTGAGTGCTATAACCACATAAAACACTTGCACAAAAAAGTTTAACCCTGTAATTAACTTCAGCTATTTAAATGATCATTTTGAATATTACCAGCATCTCATTTACCACTATCCAGATTTTATCAAGGTTCAAGACAAAACTATTGGAGGGCCAGTCTCGGTATAGATGTATAAATGTAAAGTATGGTTACCATGGTCTACAGCAGTAAGATACAATGACATTTGTTCTCAAGCATAATTGGTTTAGATGTTCTTACACTATCAAATGTTAGCCCAATGCAAAAAACATATGATAGGAAAAATGTGTACTACTCAATTGCCAAACTCTTTCAATTTTCTGACATTTTTTGTTATTTATAATCCAAATAGTAAACTAATTTTGTGACATATCAAGGTTAGAAATTATTTCATCCTGTCTTCTGCTTGGGTGTAGAGTACAAATGGGCAGTGCAAATCAAACTCTGGTTTTTCTTTTGGTAAGTTTAACTAAATTGCTTCATTTGGGAGCCTTCCTCTCCCCTCAGGGAATTAAAAATTGTATTATCTGTCCTTCATTATAACAACTTATCCTTTTTGTTCTGAGGGCTAAATGAGAGGAAGTTATATAAATGTAATACAATATCATGATAAGAACTAAGGCTGAAGGGAAAAGCTAAAATAAAAGCTAAAAGCTTTTATTTTTAATCACAGAGAGCCCCTCAAATGTTTCCAACAAAAACTTTTGTTGCCACTCTTCAGAGAATGTAGAATTGTCTTTATATTTTATCTTGAGCTAAAATGTTATACTTTTCCTATTTAAAATGGAAAGAATTGCAAAGCATTCTTAAACACCAGCTTTCTATTCCCTTTTATAAACTCCCTACAGATTATTCAATTTCTTTTATTTGGACAAAAACAATGCCCCAGAAATTCAACCTAAGATTTAAACAAGTACATCAAACTTAACCCTTCAAGTTTGTGTACAGTCTTCTGCATGGGAGGTAGTTACTAATTAATTAATTACGAGTATAACCTGCTTTTAACATACAGGAAATAATGAAATGCTATCAACTAAATTCTTGGGGACTATGAAAAGTTTTTTGCTAAACCTTAAAAGTGTAACAAACTAAACATAAAATAAATTGAGGCTATAAAGTACAAAACCAAACCATTGTATCATGAATCTGCAGTATGAAAAATACCCAACAGAAACAAAAAAGAGGGAAGAAGCTCGGAACAGTTGCACTATCATAGAACACATGCAATAAATATAGACTGCAGCAAAGGCAGCCATATTTCCCCTGCAAACAAAATAAGGGGGGGAAAAAAACGGCAAAAACTAGGTTCTGAGTTTTATTTTAATGACTCCGCCTGGCATGGTAAATCAATAATTATACTGGCTTTTTAAAATTTAAGACTTGATACAAGTTGAATGTACTTCATAACACTATTTTTACTTATGTGCAGAGAAACAAATAGTATCAGAAACAAAAATGACTCTTAATTACTGGACACATAAAGCCTTACTATATTTCTATTTGTTAAAGGTAATTACACTGTGAGAAAAACAAATGAGAAGTATGATATGTTGAATTTTTGTTTAACAAACACCACAACTATTCATACCTTACAGTATTAATTCATTTAGTGACTTGCTTAAGGTCATTACAACAGATTCAAAGTGAAACTCAGGCACTCTGACTAAAGTAGAAACTGCATCTCAGGATTAGAATAAAACAATGTTAGAAAACAGTGAATTATGCTCTTTTTCACGGTTTTTGATACCATAATAAGGGCTTCCATGCATTTTATAAAGACCTTATAAAGAACACCTGCAGGAGACTTGTGAATCAATACAAATGTCTTAAAGAAGGAATGTCTGAGGTTATATTGTTCACTATGGTAGTAATATATGATTATTTAAATGAAATAAAAATTTAAAAGCAGTTCCTCAACTGCCCTAGCTATATTTAATGGCTCAATAGCCATATGTGACTGTATTGGATTGGGTGAATTAAAGAACATTTCCATTCTAAGTTCTATTTGACAGTATCAACAACTTTAAATGGGAAAAACCTCATGATTCAAATTGGAAAATATAGCAGCTGGAAATATAATGAAACATTACATCATAAGAAATATACAGATTATACTCTATTTCTAAGCCAGTAAAAAGACAAAAGGTGGTACTAACGAGACATTCAATTGATCAGTATTTACTACTGAAAGTTCTGATTTAAAAAAAACCTTATATTCATTAACAGTTTTTTTAGGATAAGGTGCTCTTATGACCAATGAAAGACAAAACTAGAGAAATCTGATTGCTGAGTAGTAAAGGAAGAAAAATTCATTTAGTTTCAATTTTTAAAATTTAAAAAAAACATCAAAGAAGAAAAAATTAAGAACGTGGAATAGCACTGGAAGGTCTGAAATTAAATTTTCTAACAGCATATGATTATAATGAGAAGTGAAATGATTTATAATGAAATTTTGAAATTTGTTTTTAATGGTGGTATACTAGCTAGTGCCTGCTGTACAATGACCTTTTCTTTTCTTTAAGATTCCCCCTACAATAAACACCTTACACAAAAATGGAAAAGCTAAGTGGGGCATTGGTGGCTGGTGTCTGCAATCCTAGTGCTTCAGGAAACTGGGATTTGAGGACTGAACTTAAAAGCCAACCTGGGCAGAAAAATCCAGACTATCTCCAATTAAATAGTTTAACCTACCAGACTGGTGGCTCATGCCTGTAATCCTAGGAGGCTGAGATCTGAGGATCAATGCTCAAAGCCAGCAGAGCCAGGAAAAACCATGAGATTCTTATCTCCAATTACCCAGCAAAAAGCTGGAAGTGGTGAGGCCCTGAGTTCAAGCCCCAGGATGGGCACCAATAAACAAAACAAAACAAAAAACCAGCATACGCACATTAATGAAGCATTATTTAGCCATAAGAAGGAATAAAATACTGATGCTTGCCATCACATGGATAAACTCTGAAATTAAGTCTCGTGAAGAAACTTCTTCCATTTATATGAAATATCCAGATTAAAGTCTATAAGACAGATTTGTATTTAAACAAGAAAAAGTACATTCCCATGACCTCAAACTCTATTCAGATTTGGGAATCACTAATCTATGGTATTCCAGCACTTTATAATACTAATTTCCATCAAAATACTCAATATTGATAGAATTAACCTCACAAAAACCACCAACAGGCTTCTATTTAAATATCTTCGTAAACTAGAAAGACCAAAAGTCCTATTCAAAAACATAGAAACTCAAGAAGGTAATGTCTTATTTTACATAATCCAAAAATCTATTTATTTCAAAGGTTAAAGTACAGTTTAAGAGAACAATTATTTATACAAGTTACATATTCAAGGCTTACAATTAATACTGAACTATAATAAAACTTCAGCTTAAAACCTACCTTAACTGATTGGAGAAGTCATCTTCTACATTGTCATCATCCCAGTTATCCTCCCAGACATGTGCATCTTCATCTTCATCCAAACCAGCCCAATCTAAAAACAGAAACAGAGTTTGTTAAAGACAGAGCAAAGGTCTCAACAGTCCTTTCTGAAAAACAAAATCAAAAACAAAAAACAAAAAGCAGCAATTGTGGCGAAGGGATCAAGTGGCTTACCTAGCAAGCCTGAACTCTAGTACTACTGCTAAATTAGTAAAAAATAAATATAGGAACAGATGTCTAAATACTTTTCCTTTATAGCTCAGTAAGTTAAAAAAAAAAAAACTTCAGAAAGTTTGCCACTGAACATTCAGAATTCAAAAAGTTAGTATCATAGCTATAAGAAATTGTAACATTCCTCCATAAATCTCAGTTTCTTTGCCTTGTTTCTTGAATTTACAGATAATCCAAAACAAGTCATAAAAAAATTCTGTGTTTCATGAAAACTTACAATTTCTGGAGGATAAACTTCACTGATTTTTATTTTTCAAATGCATTACTGAATTTATTGACACAATAATTGGATGGGATAAATTTTGACTTTTCTTTGAGCTTTTGCACAGTCTCCTATAACCTTTCAAAACATACATACCAGCAACCCTAAAACAAACTGCAGGATGATACCAGAATAGAATGTAAAATTGTTAAACATGAAAGGACTAATAATTCACATATGGATATTAAAAAGTACGTAAAGTTTTAAGTCATCACTAGTCTCTGATAACATCAATATAAGACTCAGATTCTTTCTCTTTTTAATTTATGTCTGTGGAAGGGTGTTTGAACTCAGGGCCTGCAGCTTGCTAGACAAGCGCTCTTACACTTAAACTACACTCACAGTGCTGAAATTTATATGCATCAGGAGTATTGTTGCAGTTCGTAACTTTCTAAAATTTCCTTCCCCTTTGGACGTAGAGGGAAGGTGTAGATTAAGATTTCAGCTAAGCTTAGTTAGAAAGACATTCTAGTACTGGAGTAAAGAATAGCTATTGAGAAAGCAATACTAAGAACACTGATATTCCATACCACTAGATATATAAGAAAGAACTATCAATAAGATACTACCACCAAAACTAAGTATTGCTTCTACTTCAGAAACTAAAGAGCATACAATGAAGTAAATTTATAGCCAAAAATTCTTTCATTTACGCTCTTGAACACAAATTCTTTGCAGAATATCTGAATTAGGAATGCATTGTTGTCTGGTATTCTCCTTTAGTGCTTCCCTGAATGATATTGTTTGGTAATACACTGTTGATTTCCAAATCTGTTTGCAATGCAGAACTCTACCTTAGGCTTTAGAATTCTACAAACTCCTTTCCATATGCCTACTGAACTCAAGCTCAAGACCACCAAAACTTAACTATATTCTCAATTGCACCATCCTAAATCAACATGCTTTTCTGTCTTGCTGCACAGCCACAGCTAAATAGGGAGACACTGTTTCAAAGTTTAAACAAAAATATTTAACATTCAATTCCACTGTGTTAAGTCCCTTGTTGTTAGTCATGCTGCTCGAAATACTCTTAAATATAATCTCCTAGTGTGAAAACTGTAATGAAAAATTAAGCACAAGATCATCATTTTTATTTAACCTCTAACTTCATACTTCATGTCTTTAAACTGCTTAAACCATTTCATGCTGCTCCTCATTTCTCTTTGTACTATCTTCTCCTACTCTGGCCTGACTTATACTTATCCTCAATTGAGTTCAAATGTTATTTATTCATTATCCTATTAAAAGTAATCCCAAATCCTTTTAGAAATGGCTGATTTCAGATCTGGGACATTTCTTTTTAATACCAAAAAAATATGTCAAAAGAAACAGACACTTGCTTAAAATAATGATACACTGAATTTAAAAAAATTTGTGAGTCCACAGAAACACTTGAGGGATACTAATATTCTTTTTTACAGTTCCCATCCATAAACATGTAAATGAAAATCAGAAAAATCACCATTTTGAAAACAGTACCTCAGGCAAGGATCAATTATGTATGTTAAAGTTACAGGGTGAAAAATGGTTGGGTAAGAGGACAAAGTGCTTATTATTTTAAAATTGAGAGACGTATGGTCACCATGTTAACGAAGTGAACAATCCGTATTTCTTGATATAATGTAGTATGAAATACATAGTATTTTATAGTATCTTGCTAACAAACTTTATTCTAAATCTAATCATGAGGAAACTATCAGACAAATCCAGAAGGCAGAACTTTCTAAAACTGGCTTCTTCATGTAAATTAATGTTTAAAAAAAGAACAAAACAAACCCAAAAGATGGAAACTGTTTCAAGTTGAAGAACTGAAGTGACATAACCAGCAAATATAGTATGTAAAAAATTAAGTAAATCCAAGACTGAACAAAAAAATGTTAAAACTGTTTTTGGGGAGAGGAGCTGATAAAATATGAACTGTTTTTATTTGGACTGTTCATATATGCAAAACAGAAATCTGGATCAATTTCCTTAATTACTTCATAATATTAATATAATTTTTAAACTTAATTCCTTATTCCAGAAGATGTATTAAGGTTTTCAGTATCATACCATCCATCCTTTCAGCATTACAAATGAATTTCAGAAATAACTTTTTAAAGTCATAACTAAGCATTATAAATTGTCATCTGTTTACAGGAAAACAAAGATTTGGCTTATCAACAAGAAATACCTACTATGTAGAAAGCTTAAGTGATATGAGCTGAACATCACAAAACAGCATTTCCAACATTTATTAAACCTCCACACTGTAATACATATTATACACAAAGCATGCAAAACATATAAACTCTGTACAAAATGTAAAAAAGGGAAAACCTAATAATTAATTTCAAATAAGTCCAAATTAAAATAATAGGATTTAATTTTTCATTTATAAAGTTGGCAACAACTTTATGTTTAATGTTTAGTATAAGCAAGTTTATGAAAGATAAACTGTGGATGGAAATGCAAACTGAGAGTATCTGTCCAAATTTAAAATAGGCCTGGTTCCAGATGAGGTGTCAAGAGACCAAGCTCATCAGTCCAGTCTGGTACAGAAGGATGGTACAGCTGGTTTGTCAGAGGCTGAACAAAATGAAGACGTCACTCCAGCAAGGAAGGGAAGGCTTCTGACAAAGGAAGAAGAGAATTTTTTAAAAATGCAAAAAACTGTCTTCTCATTTTTCTCTCATCTACATCTGTCAGAGGAAAAAAAAATCAACAAGGTTTTGTCTTGTGCAAAAAAGTATTCCAAGCAAGTTCAAAGCAAATTATTTGTTTTCATCTCCATTCTACCAAGAACCTGACTTTACAATGGATGAAAAATGAAAACCTCCTCGTCACTAAGTTGCTCTCCAGTCCTAAATATCCAATCATGTAAAAGCCTCCCAAAACATACTTCGATCAATTTTGCCTAGGAATTTGATTTGACTTCCTCATAAAGTCCAGTTTCAGTTTAAATAATCGAGAATCTGGAAAATGCATTTCACAATGATCCTTAACACATTCAGCACCTGCTTAACGACCTGAATATTACACAGCCACCAATTAGAAGTTACTTGTAAGGAACTGTCAATGTACTTTAGTTCCGGAAAGCATAGCAGCCACTGAAATATTAGCTGAAATTGTAGCTTTCGCCTACAATGAGAAAACTAAAGCTCCTCTACTGCTGGGAAGTTAATGAACGTGTAGCAATCTAGTGTCCTGTAAAGCCGTGAGGAACCAGCAGAAGTCAAGCAGGAGGATTCAACACCCAAGCCAATATCCTAGAATCCTGCTCCCTCCATCCCGGGCTTCATTAGCTTTAGAGTCCTAGGAGAAACCGCACTGTCTCAAGTAGGCGCAACAACTTCATTCCACAAAAGTTGAAAAGCCAAAGAAGGCTGCTAAACGAAGGGAAGGTGAGGCAGGGCGTGGAGACGGGAGCGAGGTGGCGGGTCACCAGGCTGAGCAGCCAAGGGCCCATCCACACCGGGCCGCGGGGTCGCCTCCCCCGCCCCCCACCCCCGCTTCGAGGAGCACCGGCTACTCAAGAGTGGTGATCCGGCAGCCCCGGGCCTCGCCAACGGAAAGGTCACGGACCCCCGGAGCCGAGCACACGGGACGGGCTGAGGCCCCCTCCCGTCCCCGCCACCCCGACCCCGGCCCGAGCTAGGCCCGGCTCCCGCGCCCCCACCTGCAGGCCTGAGTCACCATCCACGCCACCCACCACGCTCACCTTCGGCAGGAAACTCCTCGAACTCGTCGTCCTCCTCCAGGAGACCCAAGTCCACCGGCTGCTTTTTCTCGGACATCGCGCCCCTCCACGCTCGGCCCCGCGCGATCCGGCAGCCAACTTAGAAGACGTTTACCGCACTCAAAAGTCGCCGCCGCCGCCGCCGCCAAGGCCCTGGCGGAAGCTGGTGCTCACCATCGAGACGACGCAGGGCGAGAGCTGCTGAGGGAGCGCGGTGAATGCTGGGATACCGGAGGTCCTCCCAGCGCTTTCCGAGCCCTCCGCAGGCCTTTGGAAGTAGAGAGGTGGATTTTTGTCTTGCCAATCTCTTTTGGCACTCAGAGTTAAGAACTATGTAGGTTACCTTGAAACGAATCATAGTGTGGTAAAAATAAAACTTAACCATTTTTACGTGATTTACAACCAAGAAAGGAAATCTAGAAAGATGCAAACATCAGTTTTCTAACTGCCAGGTCCTTCACACACATTATCCCAGTCTTTTAACTAGTGCCCTGCGTATGTCACAGTACACTTGGGCTCTGAAAAGACAGCCCAGTTTGTTCACATAGTACAGTTTGGTTTATCTGATTCTAGTCTCATGTTTCCAGTGTGAATGGTTAGTGGCAAATGACCTAGAAGAATTTGTATGTAGTAACTACAGTATAAAACAATAGTATACAAAAATGGAGGGCTGGGAAGATGGCTGAGGCTTTGGGTTCAATTCTTCAGCACCACATAAGCAGACCCCATTACTGACAAAAAAAAAAAAGGACATATTGTATGCTGTTAAAAATATACCATTTATTTATTTACTTACATACTTATTTACTTAGAATGGCATTGCCTAGCTGTGTGGCCTAGTCTGGTCTCCAACTCACAGTTCTTCTGCCTCTGCCTCCTGGGTGCTTGGGAAGACAGGCTGGGGTGCAATTCTTCCCTAAGAGCAGGTTTTAAATAATAATGAATCAAAATTTTAGTTCTTGGGCCTATTATTTAGTTCTGTTTTTATTTATTTTATTTTTTATCAAGAGGAAAATCAACAGAAAGAAAACGATACCCCCCCATACACCAAATTATATTAAAGATTGCAATACTCTCCCTCATTTAATGGGTTTTGAACTCAGAGCCTCATGATGGCAAGTGCCATACAACTTGACCAATAGGCTAGGCATTTTTGCTTTGTTTTTCATATTGAATCCTGAATTTTTCCTATGGCCATTCTCAGAAAGTGACCCTATGTTCACCTCCCAAGTAGCTTGGATTATAGTATAGGCTTGAAACTCTAAATTCAGTCTCCTTTTATTGCAATTGTAGTGGTTCATGAACTATTTAGAACTGGAACCAGTGATAACTTATCATTTTAATTATTGTGGCACATGGAAAAAAATATTTGGACAGTAATAAATATTAAAGTATGAAAGGAATTATTGGTAAAACACCTAAAAGTACATATTTGCAGAGAAGTTTATAAATTTTATAAATGAAGGCCCAATTCCTAAGGAGGGGCTTAGACAGATTACTTAATTTCTTGGTGCTGTAGTCATTTGCAGGAACATACTTAAGATATAAATGAAATTCTATATATTTGTAGCTCAATTTTTTTAACCTAATAAGTGATCAATGCATGCGAGCTATTAAATAAGGTGTTTATATTTTTAAAAATTTAGGCCAGGTGTTGGTGGCATGCACCTGTAATTCTAGCTATTCAGGAAGCTGAGAGCTGAAGATCCCGGTTCAAAGCCAGCCCAGGCAGAAAACTCCCCATAAGACTCCAATTCACCACTCAAAAACAGTAGTGGAGCTGTGGCTCAGTCTTGAGCAAAAGAGTTCAGGGACAGCACTCAGGATCTGAGTTTAATCCCTGTAACCCCCCCCACACACACACACACAAATAGATATCTTCTATCAACTGTAATAGTATTACAAATGTGGATTTTGTTTTCTTTTTTTTTTTCTGTCGGTCGTGGAGCTTGAACTCTGGGCTTGGGCGCTGTCCTTGTGCTTTTCAGCTCAAGGCGAGCACTCTATCACTTGAGCCACAGCACCACTTCCGGTTTTCTAGCGGTTTATTGGAGATAAGAGTCTCACCAACTTTTCTGCCCAGGCTAGCTTTGAACCGAGATCCTCAGATCTCAGCCTCCTGAGTAGCTAGGATTACAGGCATGAGCCACCGGCACCCAGATGGATTTTGTTTTCTGATTATACTTTATGAAGAAGTCAGTGCCTCTCCATGCTAATGATAATTAATAGCAATAATAATAATAATGTGTAGTGTTTGCTTTGTATCAGGCACAGGGCCAAGCCCATTTTGTGCATTTACTCATTTAATCCTCCACATAGCAGCCCTAGTAAGTAGTGCTATGTAAATGGTTTGTACACTTGAGGGAACTGAGACAGACAACTTGGCAACTTGATGAACGTATGAGTGCCTATTTAGTAAGGAGGTAAAATGGACCATATCGAATTGAGTTTTTCTGTATGTATACCAAAAGAAAATTGATAATAGGTATTAGGATGCTGGTACCTGGAGGAAGGCACTTTGATTTTAAAGGTACTTTCAAACAGAAAATTTGAAGTCAGTTTGAATAGCCAGTAGTCTATTTGAATGGCACTTTCAAATAGTCAGTTAAAAGGTAGAGCTAATTAGGTATGGAGGGTTGAGAAACTAGCCTATACCTAGACTTCTATGACATCTTTTCAGAGTATGTAAAAGGTCTGGACTCCTTAATTCATCCTTCAAGGTCCACATTCAGACTGTACTGATCACTAGCTGTGTGTCCTAAGGATATTTACCTTTTGTGCCTTAAGTTTTCAAACTTTGAAGTGTGAATAATAAAACTACCTTCCTCCAAAGGTTTGTTTTGTTTTGTTTTTTTGCTTAAATTACCTGTATGAGCAAAACATTCATAAGGTGCCTGGCATATGACAAATGCACAATGAATAATAGCAACTTGAAGCAGAAAAGGATGATAATGCTAATTTCCACTGTCCAGCAATGCATAAAAGGTCTCAAAGTTGGAGGAGAGGTTGACTGTTTTGAGCAACACTGATGCCATAAAGACATACAAAACATTTGTGGTATTGAGTATTGTAGCTAACTTCTCATCTGCCTTCTTTAAAGTCTGGAACACTACTATTTACTGAAGTTTCTCACTAAGTCTCCTGAGGGCATATCCTAAATAAAACTATATCCACAAAACTGGTTAGCCAAACACCTTCAGGAACCTCTTTTCACCAGTAGGTCACAGCATTTGGGCAGCTATCAAAACCATCATCAAAATTTTACATGTGTTTGTGATAAATGAAAGTAACTCTATGTGAAAAAATGGAAGCTTTGGAGTCGAACAAATGAAGCTATATGCAATTTCTAGCCATGGATGTAAATAAGGGACTTATATAAACTATCAGATAGAAGAAATTAGAGATTAGATTTTTTTTATAAGAAGTCTCTCATTTCATACAAGTCCATAGCTCTTTGTTCAAATATTTTGGTAAGAAAACTACAATCTTGAAATTTTAAGTATTTTAAGTATTACTGGATAGTAATAGTAGTACTGACCTCTACTAATGGTACTAATAGTAGTACTATTACTACTATAGTAATAACAGTACTGACTACTCTTTGAGTGCTATGTTGTATAGAATATCTCCATAACATATTTATTGTGTATAACTGATTCTTTACAACCAGTGAGCAATTCTTCACCCATCCTAACAACAATCATTCTACTCCATTTCAATGACTTAGACTGTCTTAGACACATCATGCTGTGGTTTGGACCTAAGTGTCCTTGCAAGTCCAATATGATAAAGGCTAGGTTACTAGCTTATGTGTGGTACTGTGAGAGGTGATGGTAACTTTAAAAGATAGGATCTATTTGGAAGAAGGTAGGTTCATTTGGGGGATATACTCTTGAGAAGCACATTGTGATCATAGCTCCAGCCTCCCTCCTTCCCTTTTTCTCTCCCTTTCCTCTCCTTGTTCCTTAGCTGTAAGGTGAGTAACTTTGTTCTACCACATGTCCCTATCATGAAGTTATGTCTCCTTAAAATCACATGAAAGAGAATTCAACCAACCATGGATTAAAATCTCTGAAACCATGAGACCAAATAGACTTTTCATCCTTCTAAATTGCCTTTTTCAAATATTTTTCTATAGCCACTGAAATCTAAATGGTCATCTAAGTGGAATTATAGACTGTTTGTCTTTCTATGGCAGGCATCTTCATTCAGAATAATGTCGTCTACATCCATTCATGTTGTCACACAGGATAGGATTTTTAAAAGCTGACTAGTATCTATTTGTATGCAGATACCACTCTTTTTAAATTCATTCATCTGCTGGTGGATATTTCGGTATCTCAGTTGTGCAATGATCATGGATACAGCCATCCCCATCAACAGATGTTATCTTTTTGACTAATAACTATTCTAACAGATGTAAGATATTATCTCATTGTGGTTTTGATTTGCATTTTGTGAATGATTAGTACTGTGGAGAATCTTCTTGTATACCTGTAAGCTATTTTTATATCTTTGGAGAAGTCTGCTCAGATGTTATTTTCCAAGGTTTAACTGAATTATAAGAGTTTGATGGTTTTTAAATTTTTTATTGTGTTGTGTGTATTTGTATGTGTATATGTGCATGTGCACACGCATATGTGCCCACAATTCACACTGTTACTGAGGCTTGAACTCGGAGACATGGGCTCTTCCTCTCACAGCCAGTGTTCTATCACTTGAGCCACGCCTCCAGTTCCATCTTTTGGCTAGTGAATTGGAGTTATGAAGCACATGGATTTGTTTGTTTGGGCTGACACACGAAAGATCTCAGTTCCTGAATAGCTAGCATGAGCCATACGTAACGGACTGAATTGTAAGAGTTTTGACTTGTTTTGATGTATATTAGATATTAAACTCTTATCAGATATATGATTTACAAATATTTTTTCATATCACATAGGCTTCCTTTTTATTTTATTGTTTATTTCTTTGCTTTATAGAAAATGCTTGTTTCTTGTTTTTTTGAAAGGCTAGAGATCCAAACCAGGGCTTTGCATTTAGTAGGGAAACAGATACTTAACCATTGAAGTACATCCCCAGTCTTTTCTGCAGCTCTTGAGATTTTAGTTCCACCAGGGTATTTATTTGTTTTTTTGGTGAAATTTACTTCTGCAAAAGTGTGCACCATCAGCCACAAA